CACACACACACACACACACTCTCTCACACTCACATGCGCGCACGCGCACACACTCTCACGCTCGCTCGCTCGCACGCGCACACACACAAACACTCTCACACACAAACACTCTCTCACACACACACACTCTCACACACACACTCGCACACACACACACTCACTCGCACACACACTCACACACTCACTCACACACACTCTCTCACACACACACACACACTCTCTCACACTCACATGCGCGCACGCCCGCACTCTCGCACTCTCACGCTCGCTCGCTCGCACGCACACACACACAAACACTCTCTCACACACACACACAAACACTCTCACACACAAACACTCTCTCACACACACACACACAAACACTCTCTCGCACTCACACACACACGCGCACACACAAACACTCTCTCGCACTCACACAAACACACCTGAGCTCCTGTCAGCCGACACGGGACACGTTCAAACTGTCTGATTCCAAACTGAACTGGAAGATTCGTTTGTCACTTGATTCTCACCAGAGTCTCTGTGTGCTGATTTGCACATATCTGTAGATGCATATTGCTGTTGATGATTGAGGTTAGTGCATGAAAATGAAGAAAATGAAGTGTTCAGATTCACTGTGTTGAATCTGAGCTGTATGGTTTCATGTGCCGTGTGTTTCAGAGGCGTGATTCCTCTCTACACGTGACGCATGACGATGATGATTCTGACGTGAGCGACAGCAGCCTGAGTGCTGAAGACCAGCGGAAATCCAAACAGCAGGTCAGTGCCGCATCACTGACTCAATCCCATCATGCATTGCTCTGACCGTCTCAATCCCATCATGCATTGCTCTGACCGACTCAATCCATCATGCTCTGCTCTGACCGACTCAATCCATCATGCTCTGCTCTGACCGTCTCAATCCATCATGCTCTGCTCTGACCGTCTCAATCCATCATGCTCTGCTCTGACCGACTCAATCCATCATGCATTGCTCTGACCGACTCAGTCCCATCATGCTCTGCTCTGACCGACTCAGTCCCATCATGCTCTGCTCTGACCGACTCAATCCCATCATGCTCTGCTCTGACCGACTCAATCCATCA